ATAGGTGACTGACAGGAGTGCATGGTTTTCATTTATCTATTCATTCCAACATTACTGAATGTCTCTGGAAGTTCTAGGCACCAATGAACAATAATCAAGACCAAGGCATTCTTCCTGTGAGACTTACTCATTTGGATAAGTGGTTACCAGTCAAGACCAGAACAGCTGGTGACCAGAGCTATAAGAAGCATTTATATAGAACAGTATGACAGTAATATAAAATGTTTGTCATAGAATTCTTTGAGTAAATGACTGTGGAATTGAAAGTTGAATGACGAGAAGGAAGCAATCATGAGGATGATGGGGAACTAAAATTTAGACAGAAAATAGTTGGAGAATAGCTCCCCAAAATTGGGAAGGAGCTTAGTATGTTTGAGGATCAAAAGAAAGATGGGTGTCCATAGTATTTAAGGAAGGACCAGGAAAGGGATGTTCTATCACCCAGGGCAGCCTGTGATAAAGACACCTGGAAATTCATTCCTGTCCATTAATGTTCTCAGGGAGCAGAGGGAGTTTGTTTACTACTTTAAGAAACAGGAATACGAGTTATATGCACCCACAGTTGGGCTCTAGGCCTGAAAATGGAGCAAGGGACCAACTCTTGTTCTTTGAACCTTGGATAGCTCACCAAATGGCATAGGGAGAGAATTGGATGGTATCTTTGTCACTGGTCAGCTCAGACATTTACATGATATCTGGCAGATCTAGAGCTTCTGAAACACTATACAGCATGACTCCTTGAAGAAAGCTCTGAGCTTGCCTGTATGATCAGTCTTTTGCCTTCCAACCAAGATAATGGTCACATGATTGGTGACAGGGACTATACATACACAGTCCTACATACACACTCACACACACACACACACACACACACACAAATGTACAACAATGTTGCACAGCTGGAGCAAAGGGTCTTCATCCCAATGAGACTGCATTAAGTCAGCCTAACTTCTTCATGACATTGTTACTACTTTTAATAGTCTGAAAGTACTGTGTGTATGTGTACATGGCCTGAAGTTGGGTAAACAGAAGACAAAGTTTGTGAGTCAGTTTGATTTAATTCCCTCCATATTTTCACTATTAAACATGGACTTAAGTTATCTGTGACCACCTAAGAATCAAATTTGATAAATACTGTCTTTTGTTTTGTTTTTGTGGCATCAACAAGGAAAACCTTTTGTATGCTACTGATATTACTGCTCCATCCCAATTTCCACAGTGAGTAGTTGCTTCTTTGAAATCCCAGTCCCTCCATAGCCAGATGCTCAAGGCCAACATGACCTACCACAGCAATTGCCAGAAGCTGTGTGGTTGTCATCTTGAATTGTTTCATGAACAGGATTATGAACATATAAATTAAAATAGGGAGGAGGAGTCCCTGTTGGCTTTTGGGAGCCTTGTCATCCAGAACTGGGTGTGGAAAAACCTGGCCAGGTATTGGGGGACATGCAAATTTCCCCAAGTCACAGTTGCTGCTCAGAGGAGCCTGGGAAAGTTGCCAGTCAGTCGTGCAGTGGCAGGAACTGCAGCCCAATGGCTCTGGAATCTCTCAGATCTCACAGTGCTCAGCTGGAGCTGCTCACCTGTGGAGAAGAACAAAGAACTCTAAATGGTAAAGAAAGAAGAGTCAGTTTGAACAGATCTTGAAGAGTTCCAGTCTTTGTTCCTGAGGCAGAAACTCACAGAAAAGCATCAAGAAGAATGGTTGATTCTCTGGTAAATTCATCTCATGGTCTGTTGATAATCTCGAATGTGACACTGAACTTTCTCCCAAGAGGAGTGGGAATATCTGGGTGTACATGGATGTGATTTGAAGAATTATAAAACTCTTGTCTTTGTAAAACCTGGAGATTGCCCTCGCTCTAAGCAATGGCAAGATATCCAAGATGGAGAATGGTTCATTTTCTGGATTGGGCCTCCACAAAAAAAAATCTCCATAGTCTGAGCTTCTGCCATGCTGCAGCCGAGTCCATGCTGGTGTGCATGGTCCAGAGACAGATGAGTGTCCATGGTCAGTGCTACCTCAGGAGACAATATTGATGTATGTGGTCTCTGCTGCCTCCTGAGGCCTTATTTGTGTCTATAGTCTGAGATGCCACCAGAAACCTTGTTGTTGTCAGTGGTCCAAGCTACCATGTGAGGCCTTGTTGATGACTGTGGTTCTTGTTGCCACTGGAGGCCATGTTGGTGTCCCTGCTTTATGCTGCCTGAGAACATGTTGATGTTCACTGTTCATACTACCACTAGAGGACATGGGGCTATCTAAAGGCTGTACAGCTACAGGAGACCGTGTTGGTATCCATGCTGGGGCCATGTTGATGTCTATGATCTGTGCTGCTTGCAGAAACCATGGTGAAGTCCATGATCCTAGATGCCTCTGAATAACCTGTGGATGTCCATTGTCCCTGCAGGCTTGTGAACCCATGCGAGCTGTGATCCGTGCTGCTGCTGGCTGTTATGTGCAGGGAAGCTTCTGTTGTAGAGGTTTTGATGACTCTAGACTTATAGTTGAAAATGAGAGACATGGAAAGATTCTGCAATAACCTCCCCATTCACCCACTGACAAAGGAACAGCCTAGCCAGGAAGCTTTGAAGAGGGTCCTTAAACTTGTGATAAAGTGTTAACACATAGCACTTCACTATTAATGAGTGGCTTCTGACAGGGGAGTGGAAAAGGATGTCATTGTATTTAAGAGGCTAGTCACTGGGATTTGACCTTGCTCCAATGAGTGTATGGACAACACAAATTGCACTTAGTGTAGCTTGTTTTTTGAGGTGAGAACTTGGGAGGAATGGGACAGAAGTGTGATTAAGGGCATATTTCTTGAAATCTCCAAATAATCAATAAAAATAATATGTCGGAAAAAAAGTAGGGAGGTAGAAGATGGTCCCTCTTTCCAAAAAGAAAACAGCCCTGTGAGAGTAGAGGCTTGTCGCGTCTGCTGCGCGGCCTGTGTCCGAGAACGTGCGGAGGGTGTCGGGGATTGACAACACAGAGACTTGTTCAACGGTGTAAAGACTTTAAGCAGGCCCCAAAAAGGTTCAAGAAAACTTCCTAAGAAAGGCTCCCACCAGAGAAGCTTCTGCTCTCTCCTCTCCCCTGGCTGGTTCCGCTCTGACCCCAGAAAACTGATCTGGGCGTGGCAGAAGAGGTGGTTAGTCTTTGGACAAGGTCGAGGTCAGGGTGGTTTCTGTGGGCAGGCCTTTCCCAGGAACTTAATGCCCCCAGGCATTGTATTGTTTTTAGTAAACATGTTTTAGTAAACATTGTCTTACAGCTGCCTACTCCCAGGCAGAAGGGGAAGTGGGTCTCTGCTCAAGGTCTAGTGTTCCCACAGAGGCTGACAATCTGCTAAGAGAAAAATAAAGCAAATTCTTCATTTTTAAGTGTTTCATTGACCCATGATAATCAAACAGCCTTGCCAGAAAAGGGTAATTATCTTTGTTAATATCAGATGCTCTGTGGATGGGGCCACCCTTCTCTTGAAAAATGAGCTCAGATTAAACAAATACCTCATTTCCTAGTTTATTGTTAATATGAATTCCCAGACTATAAGCCAAATTCATTTGTTTACCTCTTTCTCCCTTATCTCATATAAAAATAGGGCCAAACTGAGCTTTGTGCTCTTCCCCTAGGCCTTGAGTCCAACAGTGTGATGGGTTAAAGTGCTTTGTATTCTGGTGAGACTTGCAATTGCTGGATTGTGGTTTTATTAGATCCCTTGCTGCATGGCTCCAGGCAGAAGTATGCCTTCTTAAAAGAAGAGGAAGGAGGGGTGGTAAATTTAAAGAAAAATTAACAGTTTTGTTTTCACTAGCAAGTATCTGGAAACTAAACAAATAATAAATGCTGTATGTATATGCACATAGACAATCACCATGCATAATGGATTGACACTGATTTCTCACTTACAATAGTGGGAAAGCATATCAATATAGCCACTTTCACTTATATTATAGCCTTCAATCAATTGCGTATTATTTTCAGCATGTTATTTGAAAATGAACTTTGTAAGTTAGAAAATTTTTCCCATTTGTAGGATAATGTATGGAAGGCTAGGCTAAATCATGATGCTCCTTAGGTTATCTGTGTTACATGAATTTGTGAAAAGATAGTTTTAACTTACTTATTGAGATATGCCTCCTTCACAAGTCAAGAAGAACTTATGTATACACCACACAAGGGTACATCTGTATATCTCATACATATGTGTGTACACATGCATACACCATAGATTCAAGCAGAAAATATGTGAAATATGAATGTAATTATAACTGTAAGTTTATTACCAATAAATGATGAACTTTCATCATTTTTCTCAGACCAGAAATGTAAATGTGTTGTCCTGTCTGACTTGTAGAATTCATTACATCAGCTTCTTGTATACAAGAGATGACTCTTTTCTTTAAATATTTGACTGGAAACATCTTGGACTATGAGAAACCAATTCAAGGAACCCGTGTTATAAGTTGCTTACTCATGTGACATATCTGGCCACTGTGGAACATCTGTTAGTTACAGGTGCTCACTGTGCCTTTTCTGAGTTTCTGCAGCCCTTTAAAATAGTCTGCTCTCAGACATTTCCTAGGTTTCTATCTTTTCTCCAAAAGGAAAGTTGACAGTGTAATCATGATATTCCAACTAGCAAAAACACCAGGATATTCCAGTTGCTCTTCTGCTGATGTCTTTAGCTGTCTCAGAATGGGGGTCAGGTGATAATGGCCCAGAATAGATCTTGCCTTCTTCTGTAGTTATCTCAGAGAGTAATGGTATTATTGTGCGCATTACCATGTCTTTTCTTAAATTCTTTGTGCCAAGTCGTCTCCCTTGAAGTAAACTAATCATCTTTTAAAACTCTTAGTTGCTAAGTATTTCTTTGTTCATTTCTTAGTCTTCAAGAGTTCAGGCCCTGAGTCAAAGGGTCTCAGTGCTGTGTATAATTACTTCCTAAGGATGCTACCCAAGCAAGCCAAACTTTCCTTAACCCACCTTACAACAGATGTCCTTGTGTGCCCCCTGAGGCCAGTGGAGCGCTTCCGTGACCTACGTCCTGATGAAGTGGCTGATTTGTTCCAGGTGACCCAGAGAGTGGGGACAGTCGTGGAGAAGCATTTCCAGGGGACCTCCATCACCTTCTCTATGCAAGTGAGTGTACAGATTGTTAGATGTGTTTCTTTCCTTTCTTCTCAAACCTATGTGGGGCTCTGTATCCCAGCCATTTTAGCAGAGAAGCAGTTTTAGTTGTCCACATGTACATAACAGCAGAAACATATGTCACTAATCCAAGACAGCTTTGCTGTCCCTTCTCCCCAGGGTGGACTGTGGAATGGCATCAGAGCAAATGTCTGGTACACTGTTTATAAAGCAAGTGCAAGTCATAGACAAGAGCTAAGGGGATTGAATTAGTTGCTTTTCAGTTGTGATAAGATACAAACTAAAGACAACTTGGAGGAAGAAAAGCTTTGTTTGGCTTATGTCTCTACACTAAAGGAATCATTGAGGGAAGCTAGGACAAAAGTCTAAAAGTTAGCAATATGGAGGCAGGAATGGAAGCAGAGACCAAGGGCAGTGCTGGCTTGCTTCCAAGCTCACCTTTCATAGACAATCATGGCCACCTGCCCAAGGTTCACACTGTTACAGTAAGTCAGACCATGCCCAAACAATTCGCAATCTAGAAGATGCCCCTACAGACATGTCCACAGACAAACCTGAAGACAGAAATTCCTCAGCCTAGCTTTTCTCTTCCCAGTTGTTTCTACTTTGTGTCAAGTTGAAAAAGCTAGCCAGCATGGGATTGTACATGAGAGCTAGAGTTGGGAAAGCCTTTTTGCTCTGTGGCGTATATGTTTTAAGTACACATGAGCTCAGCCCTGCTGTGATTCCAAGGAGAGCAAAGACCAGACAGCTAATTGTAGCCTTCTATTCTCTTACTTTTCTCTAAACTTAACACAGACTGCAGATACAAGTCACAGGCTTATGCAATGGGATTATTAAATATGGCCCAATACAAAATGAAGAAAACATCTTTCAATTGATAGAGATCTACAGGCAGCACTTGACATAGTAGTCTTCAGGTTCAGAAGAGGATGTCCATGATATGTCTGTCATCAGTTGGGAGTTGAGTAAATGAGCAGTAACTGTCCATGAACCTCTTCAAATCCCTATGGATTGGGTAGAGACAACAGTGCATGTGTAAGGGCCCTTGGGCTTAGAAATGTGTTGACTGCCTTGTCCCATATATGGAGACTGCATCTCCAGCTCTTCAAGTTAGCCAGAACAGTTCCCTTCAGTTAGTCTCATTGCTGTAACACAGTACCCCAACAGACCTAAATTAAGGAAGCAAAGGTTCATTTTGACTCACAGTTGGAGATTAGGGACATAGTAGGAGGAATACAAGGCAGCTGGTCACATTGTAGCCACAGTGAAGCCCAGAAGGAAGAATATTGGTGCTCAGTTCCCTTACTTTCTTCTTTTCATTTAGTTCAGGGCACTATCCCATGAAGTGCTGCTACCTATTTTTAGCTTTTTTCATAGATATAAAGAGACTAGGTATAAAAGCCAACATATTGATGTCTTTGACCAAAAATGTTCATTTCTTTCTCAAAACACAAATCCTGGTTTCTCTGTATTGAGTAGCTGAGCATCCCTAGAAATATAATTTGAGTCACCTTCAGATAGTAGTTCAACTTAGAGTGGCTTTATCAAACCTGTGTTGTAAACTGCAAGTTAATCAGGTAAACAATGTGGATGAGAACATCTGCCAGGAGATACCAGTATTGGTTATCAAAGCATAGTTCTATAAGTATGGTCACTGACTATGTGTAAAATCAGAGCAATTTGCATAAAGAGTGTTGTGAAACTGTTTTAAAACTATACTTCACAAGAACATATGTGTGTGTGACAATCCTGTATACACCTACATCACATATATATGCACCTATGAATATAGAGCTAGAATTTCACCAAGTAACCTTAACCCATATCCACATTCTAACAGCTTTTCTCCTGTAATGTTTTCTTCTTGAGTATTGCTTGGTAACAATGGGTTGCCTTCATAAGCCACTAATGGGTTATGGCTCAGGTTTAATATGCATGTCAGACTTGTGCTATTGGGGCATGAATCATTCCCACTTGTCAAGTTCACAGAGAGATATATTTAGCCAAATCTGTAGATGGGTAATTCTACGTTGAAAATTTTTATTACAGAGAAGTTTGTCATCTTCTCCCTGGAGTACCTACTTTCCCTTGGTACTGTGCATGGAGACTGGGTCCGTGTGCTCATTTTCCACTGTGCTGATGACAATAGGCAATGGTCCTGCTGTCTGAAAACCTGGGAGAGAGAAGTAGGTACATGGATAAAGGTCCACCCACAATAATCACTTCTACTTTTTGCCTCAAGGTCACAAGAGCTTGAAAGGACTGTGTCCATCTAAATGCCTCATCTTCTTACTTTCTAGAAGAGAAATTTAGTCAGATAATAATGAAATGATTTCTGATTTAAAGATAACCAAACTGTGGTACTTTGCTTCCCCAAACATTTTCAACCTTACCTTTAATGTAATTAAAACCACAGCTGAAAGCAAAGAGCATGAAAAGCAGAAAGGAGTGCCTTGCTGGATAATTCATATCACCTTATACAAAACGCCTCACTCAGAAGGAAATGGAGACCTGTCTGGTCCCACACATTCAAAATGAATGGTCCCCATGAGATTACTACAAATTAGCACACAATGAATTGGCTCTAAATTATTAATGAACAATATTTCTGAATAAGCAGGCAATATCATCAGTCAGTTCTCACCCCAATGCTTTTTCTTTCTTTCTCCTTCTTCTAGGATGGTCCCGAGGCTGGACAGACTGTGAAGGTGAGTGCTTATTATGTGCACACAAATTAATAAGGGGCGATTATGGGAACTAATAAAAAGTCACAACGAGCCATTTGCAGCACATTGCTGTTTCATTATGTTATCTTCGAGGTCAGTGAGACCCTCAGTGTAAGAGCCATAAATCCTGACATTATAAACTGTGCCAAACAGTATGTTTCCCATTAGTTTACAAGACATTTACCCTTTGTAGTAAAGTTATTACTGTGCAAATGCTAAGACAGAAACTAAACTGTGGAGTCCTAAAACAGAACAGGCAGTGTACATCAACTTCCTATGGATTTTATGGTTCCTGTATAGACCGGAGCACCTGCTATAACTTTAGTTGTGCACACAATTTAATTTCACTTACTCCTTCTTCAGTGGAGGGACATGTGTTTTGTGTCAGGTTGCCTCCCTTACTTCCTGTTCCCTCAGCCCCTCAGCCTGTTTTCTCTTCATGCTGACACATTTCTCTTCTCTCTAACGACTAAATACCAAAGTTGAAACTTAATGGGATCAATGGGGTTCAAAAATGATTTTGAAGTGTGCTAGAGAGGAAGGGGGTATTTATTATGTCAGCCTTTAGTCACAGCAAAAGGACAGAACTACAACATCCTGCTGGTTATGAATCAAGCATCCAGCTTCTGTCTCTCAAATGTGAATTTCTGTGTGGTTGGGTCTAATCATTAAATGACAGAGAAGCCTGGGTTTGTGGTAGTGGGAATCAGAAATAAGTCACACTATACCACTGATGCTGCTGATGCAACACAAGCTGAAATAAAGCTCTTGTGTGTTAGGGCTTGCCCTGACAGGCAGGGTAGCTTGGCACTAAGTCAGACCAAGTGAGCATGACTCCTTTCTGATTTTGGTTTGTATGTGGATCCAGTGAATAACATGCTACAGTGGCACTTTAGAAATAGGATATCTGGGAAGTTTAGTGGGGAGTGACTGTCTCAAAGGGAAAGCCAGCAAATTCCTAATGACCAAAAGAGTGACCCCAGTTTCTCTAAGCACATGACACGGAAAACACAGCTGAGGGACATTCCACTCCCATCCGTTCCCCTGTCCCCTGCCATGTTAAGTATCCAAGTATGCAGATGCTAGATGATGCAATATCACAGTTTTTACTTTGAAATTGATCGTTGAAATACATTGCACAGATATTGAAGCATGGCTACTAGAGTTTGAAGATTTAGAATTCAAATGTAAAGTTAGCATGCACTAGTTTAATGTTGGATGCAGTTTCAGAAACCACTGAAGGTACTAAAGACAGCTATGGCATGGAAGAACACACAGCTGTATGGTAGAACGCATGGTCTGATAAACATATCTGGACTTTATGTGAACAGGCAGATTATGTGCTCTCAAGATTTAATTCACAGTTCTAAAGAGGGCATTTGACTTATTTGTTATACAAATGGACTTGAATAGGGGAAAAAGTAGCTTAGAAGTTCCTAGGGACCAGGAGAAGGATGATGTGGGGGTGACTGCTAATGGCTCTCTCTTGTGGTTGGTAGAGATGTTGCAGCATTTGGGAAATAGAGATACTTTCTTTAAATGTAATTCTTTAAAGAAGGAAAATAAGCATTAAGTCCAGCAGGGCTGAAGACCATGGCAATGGAGTCACAGATTCCAACCTTCGTATCACCCCACTCACCTGAACTGGGTGTACTGTTTTCTTAGTTTTAATGGTGCTGATGATGGACTCACTTATAATATAAAGCACTATGTATGAATTATTGAATGCATATACCATAACCAGCATTGTTTAGCTTAAGCTGATTTCTGTAAACAATTGTATCTTTTTTTTGCCTTTAAACTAAACATGTCACGTTTTGAAAATTGTTTTGGTGTTTCTAACCTGGTCACAGTATTTCCCCAGTCTAAATTGTGAAGTCAACTCACATCCTTTGTGGACTATATATGTAAGGGCAAAAATCATTACACACACCACACACCCCCCCCCACACCAGATACACTCCACCTTTGGTAGATACTGAGCTTTTGTTAACTATTCTGCTACGCCAAGTCCTTCTATATAGAAGTGTATATTCTGTGATTATCAAACTGTGATATTTATACTACATTACATGACAGTTTACTTGGGTGTCAGCTAAACAACACAGCCACCACCACAAAGAATCTCAGCTGTTGTTTTCATTAACCCTCCTAACTCAAATGCTATAGAGAAGGTGGAAGCCTTCATTATTATGCACAGTCCGACCTTTTCAGAAGATGGCTATTTCCCAGCTGTGTTACCTTGTGGTGACAAATAACTCAGTAATGGCGTTCAGGTAACCAGGAATCATAGAACCCAGCCCAGCAACACTGGCAGCTTCCCCAGGGGGCATAGTGGCACCTTCAGAATCCTATTGTACCACTGGAAGTTCTAGGTTAAGGCTGGGAGCATTTCATGGTTTGAAATTGACACAGATGCACATTTTGAAGGGAGGTTTGACAGCTTACCATCTAAAGCATGGGGCCTACCCATTTTTTTTTTTTTTGCCTGTCCATGAGATTCTCAGTGCTGTGTCTGATATCTGAGTCCTAAGCCACTTACGTCTCATGCCAGGTAGTAATAGCAATAAGTCACTAATGGTATTCTCTCCTGAAGCAAGTGTTATTATTGTTAATGAGGCTACACCACTGAGTTAGCCTCTTGAACATGATGGCACTTGAGAATTTTTTTTTTCCTGAGGCATTGGATTTTGCCTAGCAACACAAGGGGTGGCCTGGCTTACTCAGTAAGACCCATGTAACAAGGAAAATGAAATATTGAAGTAAAGAGTGACCTCTTATTTCACAATTGATTATTCGGTTTCCTTCTCAAGTTTAAAAGTAGAACACTGTCAGGCACCAGATGATCAGCACAGTGATCGGGAATACCCTGCAGGTTGAAGGAGTTATCTTTGTCTCCTCTCTCAGCTACTCAACCCCTCCCTGAACCCACCCAAGTTGCCCTGGTGAAGGACATGCTCCTTGTCCTGTCATCTAGCTGGATTCCTGTCAAGAAATTCTTCGTGGTCTCTCACACATTTGTTTGTTTTCGTATGTTCATATTTATGTTGTTTCTTTAGACTGTAGGGAATATATGTATATATGATTCTGTCACTACTGATGGTGCTTAGAACGTGTTGCCCAGGAAGATGGGCCCTTGGCCCCTGAAAGAGTTTAAATTGAAGGAAACTAAGCAAACTGTGGCAGGAGGAAGGCCTACTCCTTAGTCTTGATCCACCATCCTACCTTGAAGTAGGCCATAAAAGAATTATCTGGCCTGCCTACCCCAAGGTAGACACAAGTCACTTCCTCAAGAGGGCCCTCCTGTTTTCTGGTAACCTGTGAAACTCTGAACAAGCAGGCTTTTCCCTGTTCCATCACAATGCTGCTTTTTTTCCCATCTCCTGGCCACACAAACACTTCGCCTGTTTCTTTCCGTCTTTGTGCCTAAAGCTTCCCTCAGCACAGAAAGCTTACATCAAATGACTCTGCTTCTGTTTTTCTGTTAATCTAAATGCTGTTGCAGTGATCGTCACCCCAACCAACAGCAAAGGAAATAGGAACTAGGAAATAGGAGGGAAGGGGAGGGGAGGGATACTTTTCTCCCATCCTTTGTCTGTGGATCTTCATTTTCTTTGATGTGTGTCAAATGGAGACACGGTGTGTTTTGTGCTGAGACAATTATCTACCCCTAAGTTTCTATTATTAGTCATCAAGAAGTAACATTTGATATTTATCTGTTTTCCATTGTACAGCCAGGCTTTCTAAGTTTCTGAAAATTTCTATGAAATATTCCCTATATTGTAGGCATCAGAGTAAATTTCTTATAAATTATGTTCCTAAACTGAAGGGTTTATCTAATTAGTCTTTTATCAATAAAATTTGGAAGTCAGATATTGGGGTAAGAACCTAATTGATCAGAGAAGCAGAGGAGGAACAACTGGTGGCCTCCTCTCTTTCTCCTTCCTCAACCCAAAAGGCCTAGAATCTCTCCAAGCCCTTCCCTACCACCTCCTATGTCTCTCTGCATATCGGCAGTTCTCCAAAACCTCTATGGCTAATTTTGGTCACCTAGTAGCTAGCTATGTCCTCTGATTCAAAGTAAACTTTATTAGCAGTTTCGGGAGTGTTATTGTGTGAACAAAATATACCACAACATTAAATCCTAATCCTAAGTGTAATTAAGGTGTACTCATTCCTTTAAAGGAATGTGTTCTAAAAAGATTAGTGTGAATCATTTTCTCTGAGACTGTTACATGGGCATCACTAGGTAGAGGATGCTTTGGGTATGTTAAGGGGAGATATTTATTCCCAGTCAGTCATCTCATAGTCTGTTTATAGATCAGGTTTGCACACATTCTTCCATGATTGTGGTGCTTGGATGCTGGACTGAAAGGTTTGATTTTATGCCTTTAATGCAGTAGGAAGCATATCTTCATAACTGCTGAAATATTAATAATAACTTTCTAGATTGCAGAAAAAGGGGAGTTCTTTAAATGTTATTAAAAATTATCTCCTCTTCCCTGTGGCTTTTTTTAGTTTCATGGATCAGGAGGTTTTTACATGATATGAGATCTGGCCATCTTGCAGTTTAGGGTACAAAAAGGACACTTGGTTGCCAGTAAAGTCTAAGAGTTAATGCGTCTTGGCATCTGTCAGAGATGCCATAGGAAGGTGAGCACTATAATTTAACTCACTAACTTTGCCACTCTGGGGCAGCCTCATAACTGTGAGCCTTGCTTTCTTATTTTTCCAAAAGTAAAACCTATTGGATTGGATGGTGATGGGAAGAGGCTGACATGGACATGTAAGGAGTATATAAGATATTAGGTAGAATTGAGACACATTTATAGGAGTTGGACCTATATGGCACTTCAAACCCCAGCCTTTTTGACAAATGCTGTCGCTGGTGTGTGTGTGTGTATGTGTGTGTGTGTGTGTGTGTGTGTGTGTGTGTGGTGTGTGTGTGTGTGTGTGTGTGTATGTCTGTGTCTCTGTGTGTG